ATGCATTCTTATAAATTGCATCATCCATAGAAATATAGGCTGGTGGTGTGTAAGAATAGATTCAATATATATCGAGAGAGTGTATTGGATAATTTAGGAACATTGAATTGGCATTTTGTTCATCGATTCGTTGAATTTGTGAAATTAGGGTTTTTAATAGTCAATTGGGGATTCAAGTTCTTAATGATTTCATTTCAATTCATTTCAATACAATAATTCTAAAATTGCATATTTATATTTCAGTTGCGTATTTATTTCATTAGATTAGTGAAATTTTGAAATTAGGGTTTCCAATTTTGAAATTAGGGTTTTCTTTGCAATTAGGGTTTCGAATTGGGGATTTCTCCCAAAATTAGGGTTTTCACATTTAAACCAAATTTTCATTCAATTAGATTCGGTTAAGGTCACATTAGTTTAATTAGAGCTAATTTAATCCTCGTGGGAACGATACTTGGACTCATAGTCCACTTTACTACTTGTTAACGAACCGTACACTTGCGGTGGGTTTTAAAATCGAGAAGAAATAATTTTGCGAACATTCTACGTTATATGTTACTACGTTTGATGTGTTTTTAGCATGAATTAAGAGTGATTATATTAGTGTGTATAATGTATCAGGTGCATAGTGGTTGCCATTACTATTATAAGGAAATATATTGGGTGTGTTCTCATTTTAGCAGGTGCATTAGCAGTAAGTATGTCAACAAGTAATTTGGAGTATAGATGCTTGAGGATGCATTCGTGATATGTGTGGGGGTACGGAGAGTGACATTTAGATCACAAGAGGTGATGCAATTAAATATTTAGAATTCTCAATCTATTAAGAATCCTGGTTGGGTGGAGTGAGAGAATGACACTCTTATCACCTCTATTAGGTGGAAATTCATTATCTATCTAGGTTGAGAGATGTGAGGTAGTGATAGAGACCATTCAATTGACATGGGATCTATTGTCATTTATTAGTTAGACATGAGGAGCATTGACAATGAGTAGATATATGAGTTCTCAAGATACGAGCTACACAAAATGTGGTAGGATAATTGTCGTAAGCTTTTCATGAGGTCATTAATGTATTGGTGGTATATGTTGGCTAGTTACTTGATTAACTTGATGTTCTTTGCATGTTTAACATGTTGAAAAGATCTGTGTATTATCCTATGATGTGTGTTCATTGCATGTGTGCCTTTATATATTCTTGGTTAATTACCGTGAATATTTGTTTGTACTAGTTCTTTGACCTTAGCACCTGGTAAGACATAGAGCATATATGATATTTATTTCAGTCCAAGACACAGGTAAGGTCCGTGATTCCAATTTTATTTGGTTATCTTGATTAAACAAGTATAAACTTGGTGTTGTTTGCTTGTAGGTTCATGGGGTATTGAGGTGGAGATTTGTTGGATTTTGTATACCCAACAAATCCAAGCGATGATGTTAAAACGTTTGTTAAATTAATTGTATTGACACCATGATTGATTGGCTCAACCCGAGAACAAATTGAGGCAACTAGAAGCAACCATTAATTTGTGTTGCTCGTGATCCGATGGTCCTTTATGAGTTAGTCCACTTCCATTGGTTTGTTAGCCCATCTCATGTTATGTTACTTGGACAAATTTGTGTTTTGCCTATTTATTATGCTTTTGCTCACTTTGTTTCCTATCTTTAATGAAAATTATGTAGTTCAACCCAAATAATACCTAGAGGGGAGTGAATAAGCGTTTATGCGGGATTTTAACAAATTAATTAATAATTGCAACAAGTCACGGTTATTAATTAGTTCAGATGAATTGACATACAATCTATCATATGTTGAATTGTCGCAGTATAATAAATTGCTAGAAAATAAATAACACAGGATATTTGATAATGGAGAAAACTCCTCATAGGATTAAAAACACCGGGCTCAAATAAGTATGAATCCACTATAAATGAATCAACTTACAATATTGCCATACTCAACCAACACAAGTACTTTCTGACCTCTTGACTGTAATTTCCAAAGCCCCTCTGGATTGCTTGCTCCTGAATCAACTCCTGGCCTTTCGATTTCTTGTATCTCTTATGGATTCCTGGAGAACTCCTTGTTCTCCAACAATCGGAACTCCGGTCACATTCCTTGATCTTCAACCTTTGACAGATACTCTGGAAGTATAGGTTTTTCTTACTTGATTTATGGGTTTTGATGTTTTTCACTTGTAACACTCAAGGATCAATGAATTGAAGAATACATGAATAGTGTATGTGTTTTCTCACAATGATCAATCCAAGGTCTTTGTGAAGCAGTGCAAGTATTTATACAATGGAAGTTTTGGGTAGTGTGGTCTTGTTAAAATTCTCGAAAATCGCAAATTAGGATTTTTTAGTATACACAGTAGCTCAAGCGATAGCCCAGCAAAAAGTGAGCGATGATGTTTTGCTCGAACGATGTCCCGCGATAAACTAGCGAAGTCCATTTTGTTTTTGTCGCTTGAGCAATGTGTTGGCGAAAGTCAAGCGAAATTGTGGCAATTCTTCTTTCCTTATTCTGAGTTTGAACCCTAAACTACCTAACACAACTATAGAAAATTGCACCTAACTCCTTGACTTTCACACATTTTCAATTTGGTCATTTTTGTTTACAGAATTGCCAATTACATTATAACTAATACCAAATTCTATAAATAAGCTTCTTTATCTAGGGTGAATGAGTATGTGCAATAGAGAGAAAAGAGGCAGCAATATATGGTGCTATTGAGAGCTTTGCTTAGAGACTTCGTTCTTTTTCACTGCCTTTGCGATATTGTAGCTATTGTATTATCCTTTATGGGTAATGTTAATAGGCAACCACAAGTGAGTTTTGGATTTGGATCAAGAGATCAAATAGTTGGTAGTGTCTGATTTGTTGGTTGAAACTGAATCTGGATCACACAATTGAAGATCTTGGTGTCAATTTCCGTGACATCCTCTTAATCTCTTGTAATTAGCATTTGTTTTCTAAAAATCTATGCTTTGTATTTCAATTATAGGATAATCCTAACAACACAACTTATCAGATGTCATCCTCTTTAACCAACCGCCGTGGAGAATGTGTGGCTTGTCAAAGTTAGAGCACAATACTAGAAACAATAATTGTTAGCTATACTTGACAATATGATAGTTTTACCATTTTTAATACCATACATTACTACTGAATCATCCTACCAATATATGTACTAAGTTGTTAGCTTTGGCGTCAATAAATTCATGCATAGCTGTGCCATGAGATCTTTTCCAATTAGGGGAAGTGGGTTTTTAGTTCCCTAAAAGTTGTTACCATATGCTTTTGTGTGTAGTTCTATTGATAACTCTCACAGGTAATAGTGCCTAACAAAATTGAAAAAGTATAGGTCAATATTATGTGTAATTAGAAATATTAATCATAATTTACTTCATTCACAGTATTTTGGCTATAATTTCTCTCTTAAGTTTTTTTGAAAAGGCAAATAACTTCATTTACTTAAATTTTCTAACATTTCAACAATATGTGTATATGTTGTCATAGCCTATGTTTGGCCCTAGTTTTTACGAATACTCATTTTCAACCATAGGTTCTTCTATAAAAAAATTTATACATAAATCGAAAACTTTTCCTTCGTTTTTAATTATACATTCTCCAAAAAAAAAAATCACCATTCCTAAATACATTATCTTACCAAAATGGGGCTCAAACAGGGTCATAATAACATCTATCAGTAAAATGATCGTCAACAGCAGTGCTAAGCAAGTTTTATTTGATCAACCGCGAGGTTACTCCAACAGAAACTCAAACCCCAGAACACTTGTATTGCCTCTTATTTCCTATCCTTCAAAGTACACACACAATGGATGATTCCACAAAGGAAGGTGACAATGGCTGTAACTCACAAAGAAGGAGAGGGAAAGAAAGCAAGTTCAATGACCAGGGCTTTTACAGGAAAAAAGAAAGAATGGCTGCCTTCAAAAGTCTCTCAATTGTACCAAACATAGATCAGGGTTTTGACAATCAAAGGGATAGCCCATATATAGGTTTAGGGCAAGAATTAGGGTAACAACAAATGGGCCAAACAACACACAAGTGGACCATCACAAGCGATTGGGTTGAGCTACTAATTTTTTGTCTCATCTCGTGGTATTAATTTTGGGAAGAATTCACATCTAACCAAGAAAAACAAAATAATTCATAAAATACTACCCACTAGTTATATATACTACAAATACTAGGTGTTATAACAAATTAAATCAAAATTACTATCACCTTAAATTTCATTGATTTTTTGTAATTGAAACATGGCAATAGCTATGAATTTGCATATTAATAAATGAATCCCCTGATTAGTAGCTTGATAGAAAAAATCAAGGAAATTCAAACTTAGTAAAAATGAAAACTTACGATGGTTTGATTATCTACAATGTAATGGACTTCACAAGTTTTTTTTGACATAGTATTTGTAATTCTCGATATAAAGACACATCATATGATTTTTTATAAACTATGAAAATTTACTCATTTTATACATTCATCTTTCCCGTGATTTTTGGTACGCAATATAATTTCTAATATCTTGATCATAATGGAATGTTTCAATATATTTCATTGTTTGTATATTGTTGCGATCATGAAGCATCTCTTGTATAATAATTAGTGAATTTAAGGATCACATCATATTGAAATTGATTAGTAATTTTGGTTTTTACTTTTTTTTTTTAGAATTTTGAAATGAATTATACTTTGTAAAAATCAATGTGCGAGGATCCACTTATTTCTCATGAGAATGCGATGATGATACGTCTTCCATTATCATAAAGATCATTGTGGATTATTTGATTCATTGTTCAATATTCATCTAGTATTAACAAGTATTGTGATTGTAATATTAATATCTATCGTACTAGAAATTTTGTTAAATATTTATTTCTATATGAAATTTACCAAAAATCATATTGATCTTGTCCCCATCTTTGTAAACATGCATTTCGAACAAAAAAAAAAAAACACAAAAAAGAAAACCATTAACAATAAGTATTCATTATGGAATACACTAGGCGGTATGAAATTTGCTCCTTAGAAACTAAAATAGAAATTCAACCATCTCTAGTCCAGCATCTGTAACGTCTCATCAACATGTTTGATACTTTACAAACTTCTTTTCCTCTTTCGTATTTGATTCAGTGGTAGTGAGTGCTTACATGTATTTCTATTATATTTGTACTCCTTGCACCTTGCACCTTGCACATCTAGTTTCTTAATTGTACTCTTACTTTGATTGTATCATTTGCCTTTTAAGCCCCCTCCATTGTCATCTGGATATTGGAAGAAACATGACACCCAATGATACACCTTATAAAATCAACTAACATTTAAAAGACATAGGAGACAACAAATGATAAATAATTTAATATATAAACATCAACCATTGTAAAGCTACATATTACCTTATGCACGCAACAACTATGTCAAGCGAGGTATCACACAATACATGTTATCTAGTTAGCGTAACATCCCCTGACTCGTGCTTTATACTGTTACAAAAACCAGATAGTGCAAATGTAATTACTCATGGTATCATATATTGCATAAAAATGGAGATTTAACAGAACGTGTAAGATAACACATTGTGATGTTAAGTAAACACATACAAGACTTGCTTGTTACAATATAGTTATAAAGAATGATATCTACATAGAGTTTGATTTGTCCTTTTTTAACAAACAAGGAAAGTTAACACAATATGTATGATAACACACTATCATGACAGTTGCCTTAACTAATTTAAGTTCAATCCAATTTCAAGTAATTGTGACATTGCAGTAGAGGCTTGCACAACAGAGATTACTCACCAATGTAATATTGCGTAGGAGACAAATCTCCTTAAGAGGCCCAAATTCCCCAAATCGAGCATCAAAAATCCTCAAACCTACAAGCAAGATTCTAGTATATTACAAACCACAAAAATATCACATATATACTAAGAGTGACATTTGTAACATACACACATATATGTCCTATAACGTGCTTGGAGACCAGATGCAATAGTTTAAAAATCAAGTCAGGTAAGTAGATTACATATCTCAAATAATATACAACCCACATTGTAAAATCACCGACCTACGTGTTATGTAATGGATACGAAATATCATTCCATGAAACAAACGAGCGTCTTTCATATGTCATTCTTAATATTACAAAGAAATCTGGGCGTTAATCATAATTATATTGCAAACAAAGGAGAGTATTTCATTTAGGAAAGAAATATTGCAAACAAATTTATGCATTTTTATGATTATAGTACAACCCGTGTATGTGAAAATAACAATAAATTAAAACAAATAATATTCAGATACCTTTGCTTGATTGTGATGGACCAGTTTTTCTTCCACGAACTCGAGTCCAAAACTACGGCATCCATATTCCTCTTTCCACCATGTTGTCTTCAGATGAAATTGGTGATGTCATCTTCCATTTCCAGTATCAAACAATGGATTAATCCTATGTTGTAGAAATGCTTTATTTCGAACTTGGATTTGTGATTTGAACGTTGTCCATTAGGCTAAGGTCTACTGAGATCACAATGACGATATTGCTGTTGGAATAGATGATTTTTGGGATTGAAATGAGAGGGACTAGAGTTTAAAATACGATTCGAGGATGCAATGGGTGGTTACTGAAGAATTCTCTGGTTTTGATTTGAGAAATTTTGCTTTTCATATGTACAATTGGTAAAGAAGAAGAGCAGTTTACTGTGGGCGTGATTTGGGGGGTGTATTAAATGGCTTGTTTGGTGGATAAATTTAAGCTTTTACTAAATTAAATATTGAAATGGCTGAACTTTTACTTTTTTTAAATATACTTTATATATTGTAGTATATTTGGTGAAAATAGTATTGAAATGTAAAAAGGAATTTTTTTTTATATATTTTAGTTATGTGGTGAAATTTTCACTATTTTATTGTGCGAATACATAATTGAAAATGAGTATGTAGAAAAAAAAGAAGTTTGAAAATAATTGTTGTCAAACAGGGGCTAACTTTTTTCTTCATCACATTCTAATTTTTAATATTCCATTGATCAAAAAATATTGTCCTTAATCGTTGTTTTCGTCCAAAAATATTAATAACGTACTTTAAAATGAGGCCAAATATTTAATTGCATTGTTCCATTATTATTTATTTTGCTTATTTAAAAATATAATGAGCAAATGAGTATTTTTACTCTATTTTAAAGAAAAAATTGGAAATAATCCATAATCAAGAACAATTTATGTTAACTTGAAAATAAAAAATATGATGAAAAATGTTCGAGAGATAAATGTAATAGTTTGTAAAGATTATGAATCTTTCATGTAATAAATGTAGTCTATTTATTAAAAACTATTGTATGAATATACTTAGCCAATTTGTATTTATCTTCAGGGGTTTGGCATCATTTCCAAGTTTGCCTTAATTTCATGAAAGTGATGTGATCCCATATCCACCAAAGAGTTCGTCACGTAGCCTACGTTCTGTTAAGTAGGTGTTCCATTTCAGCCCTGCCCCACGGTAAATTTTTCTATTTCAAATCCAGAGACATTTTCGTTGAACATGAACCACGTCTCACTGTGCTTCGGACACCTAATTATCCACTGTATTACTTCGTGCACAAAGAAAGAGAAATTTAGCCACTAATAAACATTGAAACAAAATATTTTCAACATATTTTCTTGCTTTCAAAATCGAGACAACTTGGTCGCCAGATTTAAAGGATGTTACTTCCAAACTATCAAGATCATGACAAATACGAGTTTACTCAAATTTAAGTAATCCTATTTACAAGACTACGATACCATGTATAATCCCAACATTTGATAACATAAAGTGCTCCACATTCGATAGATCATTTCAAAAATCGGCTTTGTATGTGAACTCTGCCGGTGATGACTTTTGTCCTTATTATGAGATTATGATTTCGATTGAAATTTTATACGTATATTCAAACTCATTAACAGTACTAATAATCGAACTAACACAATAATAAACATTGACATCAAGCGTGTAATTTAATTTTTTCTTTGCCTAATTGATGCTTTTCCTTCGTTAGGCGACAACAAACTTCAAAGCCTTGTAACACAAAAGTAAAAGTTGTGAGGGCTAAATTATGCCATTTTCGTAAGTGAGAAGCATATTTTTCAATGTCCTCCCCCAATCTATATCTTTATGATGAGTACATCTCAACTACATTGAACCAAGATGCCCAATATATTGAGAATTTACCGCATCGAAGTTGTCAAGGCATTAGCCTTGAAACCAAACTTATCTTCCTCAGTAGATGTGGATATGGACAAGAACGAAGACGACAATTGATGGATGAGATGCCGTTGATCACAATGCTGAAACCACAAATAAAAGATTTCATATGATCGACTTTTCCACTTTTCGAATCACTAGATAAATGGTGTTTTAGGAGGCTTCTTGGCCATTTGAGTACGTTTGTAGCGGAAATTATGCCTCGACTCATGTCACTAAATACATAATAGTTATGTCAAGGGTATCCTGCAGGGGCGGAGCCAGGAATTACTGTTATGATGGGCTAAAAATTTAAAAAATTTAATGTACGAATAAAATTTATATATAATAAGAAAAATTTATAATATAAGTTACCTATTGAAGTTGTACTCGGCGATGTTTTACAACATAAAATTCATCTATAATAGAATCTAGATCTAAATTCATATTAAATTCTCGTTCAATGTTAAGTGTTAAACAATCAGCAAGAAAATCATCATCCATTTCGTTACGAATTTTCGTTTCACATGTTTCATTGTTGAAAAAGCTCGCTCCACAGTCGCCGTTGAAACAGGTAGTGTCAGTACTAAACAAATCAATTTAGTCAAAATGACGTAACTCTCCGACCTTCTGCTTGCAACTAATTCCCGACATAAATCAGAAAATGTAGGCACTTGAAATCGAGGTTCAGAAATCACATCATTTTGATAGTGTTGCAACTCAACTTTCAAACAATAAATATCTTGCTGTTTAAAATCTTCAGGATAAAACTTATCTGCAAGCTTACAAATATTATCCATATTAAATGATTCAAAAGAATCTTTTGGATCCAAAGTCGTACTGAGAAAAAGGAGCTCTATTGATGTCTCATTAGATCTTGTATCTAACTCCATCATCTGAAAGTCAATAGCTGCATTGAAAATATCAAAGTGGTAATGATGTTCAATGGTAGGATATTCACGACCACGAGAACGACCAACCATATACGAACCATCAAAGTCAGGTACATGTATATCATTTTTTGAGCAAAAACATTTCACCTCTTCAAAAAATTCTTCCCAGCCATCTTCTCTCAATGCTTGAAGGATAGTTTTTGTAGTACGAACAAATCTCATAGCAGTTAAGATGTCTTGAGTTTTCTTTTGAAGGGACTGACAAAGAACATCCGCAATTGCTAATATTCTACGCATTAAATGCAAGATAAATACAAATTCAAATGTTGTTATGGTTTTGTATATACCACCAACTTCGGATCGAGATCTTGTACTTTGAGAATGATCACTAAGATACTCAAGCACCTTGCAAGTTGCAGCATACATATCAATCAAACTCTTTACAGAGCTGTAATGAGAAGACCAACGAGTACTTTCCGCTCGTTGCAAATTACCAATCTGATTAGTACCACTTCCGGACTCTCGTTCTCCAATTTCTAACAAATGTTCAATTTATTTTCTTTGGGCACTTTTCAACTCATTGATGCGCTTAAGAGATGATGTAATCATATTAATAACATTGTCCAAATGAGAAAAAAATGAATTAATATCTGAGACATCCTTAGCTGTAGAAACCAATGTGAGTTGTAAACGATGGGCAAAACAATGAACATAGTATGCATATGGACAATCTTTAAGAAATAATGCATGTAGTCCATTCCAAGAACCACGCATATTATTAGCACCATCATACCCTTGGCCTCTTATATTTTGCACTTGAAGGTTGAAACGAACAAGAACATCAGAAATCTGATTCTTAAGATTTAATGAGGTAGTGTCACTAACACTTTTAATTGCAAAAAATCGTTCTGTCAAAATTCCATTACTGTTCACAAACCTCAGGATAATAGCCATTTGTTCTCGTAAAGATTCATCTCGTGTTTCATCAACAAGAATACTAAACTTTGCATTCCCAATTTCCGTACGAATTCCTTGTCGTACTCTATTGACCATAATGCTCAAAATTTCTTTTTGAATGTCTGGAGACGTGTATGTAGCATTTTTGGGAGCATTACTCAACACAACTTTTCCTACTTCAATATTCATTTTTGCAAATGCATCCACCAATTCAATAAAATTCCCACGATTCAGTGAAAATGGAGATTCGTCATGGCCTCTAAAGGAACAACCTTGAAGAGCTAACCACTTAACACTTATAATAGTGGTCTTTAGACGCAAACGATTTTTCTGTTTTTCCTCATTTGATACAGAATGCATTACCTTGTCAATATGTTGAGTTGGTGTCATTAGATCTTCAGCTCTTCTCTTACAACCATTATGAAACGATGACAATGTTGTACCAACATGAATAAGAAATGCACATTTACTTCCTTGGTTAACCCTCTTCCAACTATCAAATTCAACAGTAACCAATGATGAAATATTAGGTGGAGTACTATCATTGAGAAAAGGAAGCAGTAAAAACAATATGCCTTATGTGTTGAAGGCGAATATTCCTACCAAAGAAACTGATTATACCAATGTTCCTGAAATCGACGTTTCTGCTTTCCACATTCTTTGCTCTGATACTCCAAAAGTTTTGGTTGATAAGGTCCAACATTTAGATAAGCCCGCCGAATCTGATCACGTTCATTAAGTGAATGTTCACATATTTACTTTCTTTTTTCAGGGTCTCATTCAATAGAATCAGATGGTTCAAAATTAAGATTTGAAGATGAAGGCCGTTCAACTTCAGGGCATGAAATTGGAGGAATGGACACCGTAGGAATTGGATAATCCTGAGATTTGTTACTTTTTGAAAAGAAAGACAATAAGGTTCTACCTTTCTTGGTAGAAGGTCGATCTTCTTCCATATTAAATCTAAAAGCATAAAAATAAAAAGCAATTTAGGGACAAGTATTTCTATTTAATAGATATCATAATTACAACAAGAAGAACAAGGAGGACATATCAATTCATGAAGCAAAAATAAACGCATATTTGACTCAAATAGATGGAACCATCAATAGAAAACATTGAAATCTGGTAACGTACTTCATTGAAATCATTCATCTGCCAATAGGAACATTTGAAGCAAAACCCCCCACAACAATGGTTGACAAGAAATGGTATTCATAAAACCCCTAATGACTTAAAATCAAAGTCATTCCCTAAACTACATATGTCCCAAACATTTAAGACCAGGTTAGATTATCACATGCACTAAAAACAACAAAACACATTAGCTGGAAATGCCTTCCCATCCCTTTCACAAAATTCTATATATTAAACTTCACTTGAACTTCTCTGCATTTGATTAGACATATCCAACTCAACGACCCTAGACAAGACAAACAATGGCCAGTCAACTAAAATCTCTCTTACATAAATATAGAACTTCGACAAAACCAAAGTGGCTTTCTGTCTTTAAATGTATTAATTATGTTATAGTCTTACAGATCAAAATACCCATATTATTAAAAGGAAAAAAACTATAGGAGAAAATAAATTGACCCCTCAACTCAATTTGTAGTTTTCAATGAGTTCTCCTAGGTATTG